GCACGCACGCACGCACGCACGCACGCACGCACGCACGCACACACACACACACACACACAGCCGGGGTTGACCCTTCATTGGCCAATCGTCATGCAAAAGCGCTCCCGTGTGCAGCATTGAACGCGAAATAGGGCATCGGACCATACCTGCATCAGTACCCTCGTGCGGACAATAGCACCCCGGCAGCAGCCTCAGAGTAACAGAGGCGCGGACTGCCGTGACCATAGCGATGTTTTTCTAGCGGCATCAATGTCAAGACTGTTCGATAATGCATGCATCAGCAGCCGTACGCTGCCGTTCCCCGGGTTACTCTACCGGTCTGTATACCAGCTAGCCATGTTTGCCCGCCCCGTGTTCGCCCAGAGGCTAGCTGTGGCTTGTATTGTATGTAGCGAATTGCGTTTATGTCGGTAATAATCTCGAGATAAATATCTCTATAAAGGAACTTTACGCGTGTACGTATACATCAATCGGCGTTCAATGAACCGAGGGGTTATAGTGTAATACCTAGTAACGTGTACGCGCGCACACGAACATGCACGAATGCACGCACACAAACACGAACGCACGTGTACGCAAGAACGAACGACTGCACGGAGATAGCCACACACTTGTCTCACCTTCATTCATCAAGCATTTTCATTTACATATTTAGGGAACATCTGATGGTGGTTTCTGGTTCTTTCGAAGTCGCCAGTTGTGCCCACGCCAATGTCTGCCATGTAGACTCCCACACGACATTGTGTATCTCGGTGTAAACATAGCCAAGGTCCTTTGTGCCTTACCGAAAACAATTTTGTTTTAGAGGCCAAGTGACCTTGCGGGAAAAAAGATTATCTGTTAGGCCACGTACAAACACACGTTTTCGGGTAATTCAGAGCGAATCTACACTAACGATAAGCTGTTCTTACTGGGTATTAGCGAAAGACAGTCGTCCACCAGGAAGGATGGCAGTCATACAGCCAGTGTGAGAGGGGTTGGCGGGCTAGTTACGTCCGAAAGAACGGACCACATATATGTATGTACAGGCCCGTCGGAGCCGCTACGGTTGGTACGGGATTGACCGTACCACTTTTTAGCCTAAAAAAAAAGAAGAAAAAAGGAAAAGAAAAAAAGAGAGATGGAGAGGGAGAAGAAAAGAGAAGAGAAAAGGAGAGAGAGAAAGGGAGAAGAAAAGAGAAGAGAAAAGAAGGGAGAAGGTGGGAGGGTGATAAATGTCATGATCATAGGCTGATCGTAGGCTTATCACCAGGGTAATAAGCTGGTAGCGGAGTAGCGGGGAAGCTGGTAGCGGGGAAGAACACGAACATCGAAGTGTGTTTGCCTTTTTTTCATTATTATGAAACGCATTATTACATAAACCGAAGAACAGCATATATGCCACAAAACTTTTTCATCCAATCGCAAATCTTAAAAATAATATCCTCAAGAAAGTGATAAATTAAGCTCGCCACCTGACCGTGAAACCTCCTATTTATAGGTTAGGGTTAGCAGCTTGACTTCAATTTCTATTTAATGAAGAGTAATTTGTCCTTTTCTGCAGTACAATAAAAGGATAAAAAAAATCACTTTAAAAAATTACTAATATGTATGTATGTATGTATGTATGTATGTATGTATGTATGTATGTATGTATGTATGTATGTATGTATGTATGTATGTATGTATGTATGTATGTATATGTGTGTATGTGTATGTGTGTGTGCTCGCGTGTAAGTGTGCATGTGTATGTGTATGTGTGTGTGCGTGCGTGCGTACGTGAGTGTGCACGCGTGTATGTGTGTTCGTGCGCGCGTGAATGCGTGTGTGTATGTGTATGTGTGTGTGCACGCGTGTATGTGTGTATGTGTATGTGTGTGTGCACGCGTGTATGTGTGTATGTGTCTGTGTGTGTGCGTGCTTTGTGTGTAAGGCTGTGTCTGGTAAATTATCCTTGGTATACGGTGTTTGTTAGCTATACCGTGATTGTAATACGAAATCAAAAAATGCTTTAAGCACTTTGCATGCCTGAAGCGTATAACATTACTAACAAATGCCGCGGGCAGAAAAATCCCAATGCATGTCTGTATGCATTTACTTGCTAACCGATTCTTGCCTCTTTTCATAACACCCTCATGAATGCTGTGACGCAGTCTATCAATGACCAAAAGCGGACGTAGATTCTTTTCTGTGGCTTCATACCAGCTATACAAGTTATTAACAGCTACAAGTAAAGAAACATACAGAGGAGCGCACATTTATTACCGCATGCAACTCTGTAGGAATCTCCTTATGAAAACACCTAATAACAACTATATATAACAACCATTAGCGCAACAACCATATAGTGCTTCAGCGTTATCAGTTAACAGTGTGTATGCGTTCATTTGCAGGATTAGCACCTATGAAGTTAATATGGGGTCTTTGCAATGGGCCAGCGACGGTGTGGTTCGTACGGTAAGCACATACAGACATACCATCTCATCATACGGGCCATAACTACCCAACCGCAGAACAAACCTAAATTACATTGCAGCAGTGTCTGAGGAAATGCGATATAAACAGCGGGGTCTTTCCCCCTTTTCGGGTAATTCTGAACAGTATTACGGACGTTGTAACAGCGGGATATGCAAGGGGAAAGCATTGCGGGATGTGGGCTGCATGCAGCCATGTCGGCGACCGTTCGGTTGTTAACGACGCTTGTCCGGCGTTGCTAACGTAGGTTACCCAGCAGCAGATCTTCCCGCACGAGGACTACGACACCAGAACGAGAGAGAACGACATCGCGTTGATGAAGCTGCAGGATTGCGTTACATCCTCGGCAACGATACTACCCATCGCGCTCGCTAGTAGAAATTCCCTGTACGAGGGAGCAGAAGCTACAGCGAGCGGCTGGGGAACGACCTCGGACTCATGTAATATCTAGTTTTCTCTTGTTAGCATCTCTGTATCTGTATGTTATGCGACTACGTGCATTATTCCCGGAAAGTATATATATATATTATAATTGTAGTCCATCGTAGTCGACAAAGACGTTTGTTGTGCACTTTACCGATGGGCTCTCATGAATGTGGCTCAGTAGGCCGAAGGCAGAAGCACAGGCCCGGGCACAGATTGGGCACTGGAAGTTCATAAGAGAGAGAGAGAGAGCGAGAGAGCGAGAGAGAGAGAGAGCGACTAGAAGATTTTTTGTCTACGGCTGCGCTCAGACTATGAGATTTTGCGTGTGCGAATTTTGTGTGTGTGTCAAACTGGTAGATGTTTGTATGTGAGGCAGGACTCATCGTTGTCAGTCAGGGCTGGCTGGCGGATGGCGGTGGTCTGGGGGGGGGGGTGACTTGTGATCATCGACTCGCCCGATTTATCTGTGGACATCCAACCAAAATCCAGTAAATAGTGTGAGAATCGGATTACATAACCTCAGAGCAAATATCATTAATGGTTCAAAGCTCTGTTTCGATGAAGAAGAAGAAGAAGCGAGCCACAAATTAAAAAAGATATTAACCTTCTCTCAAAAATCATTCATGGCCCAAGGGGCAGTACCGAAGAAGAATCGAGACTAATGATGAAATTGTCAGATCAACGCTGTGAATTGCATTAAGGAGGGTTTATATTTTTAGAGAAGGTTAATATTTTTTTTATTTTTGGCTTCCTTCTTCTTCTTCCTCAAGACAGTGTCTTGGACCATTAATGGTATTTGCTCTGAGGTTATGCATCTCGATGCTCTAACTATTTACCGTGTTTTGGTCGGATGTCCACAGATAAATCGGCCAACTCGATGTTCAGTTGTCGCAACCGTAAGAGGAGGAAGAGAGGAGGAGGAGGAGGCGGAGGAGAAGCAGCAGAAGGAAGAGGATTATTAGGATGAAGTGGAGGAGGAGAGGAAGGGAGGGAGAGTCGTGAGATCTCGCCTCTCCTTAAGCCTTACGGCTCCGCTACTTACGATGCACAACGCACGTAGCGATTACGTCATCATTTATCAGACGCCAACAATGCGGCTCCCGTCCGAGAGCGAAACTTCTGAGATCGCGCGAGAAAACAACATCGGAGCCCGCAGATTGTTGCTAGCGGAGGTCACGCGCCCGTGATAGAACTCCGCTCTACTACGCGCGCCGAATTAAGGGCGTTATATGCGTGATAGTTCTTCCTTCGTGAATTAGTCTGAGCGGATTGAGGAATGGCAGCTAGAGTAAAGCCGTAGAACAAACACGAGGCTAATATATTATGCCAATGATTATCCGCCCTTTCACTACATTCCACTTATCCTTTCACTACATATCACACATTCGTTCAGGCATCCTAACGCATAGCTTCACGCACGCACGCACGGACGCACACCCTCCAACCCATACATACGCACGCACACCCTCCCACCCCCTACATACGCACGCACACCCTCCCACCTCTACATACGCACGCACACCCTCCCACCTCTACATACGCACGCACACCCTCCCACCCCTACATACGCACACACACCCTCCCACCTCTACATACGCACACACACCCTCCCAGCTCTACATACGCACGCACATCATCCCACCCCTACATACGCACGCACCCACACACCTGCGCGCACGCATCATAAAAATTGTCTTAGATCATAATTATATGTGTGTTATAAATCTCGCCTAATAGTACCAGTGACAAACCTTTTCAAGGTTTGTCACGAGGCAAGCGCAGACTTCGTTGTAATATTTCACACACTTTGACTCCGAGGTACACACGTGCACGCACGCACATGCTCACACCCACCCGCACATGTACGCACACGCAAACACCGCGAAAATATTATATTGTTGGTAATTATATAAATCTAGTCTAATAGCAGCTCAGTGACAAAACATATCAAGGTTGCTGACGAAGCAAGTATACAGGTTTCAAGGTAAGATTCTGCATGACATGACACCGCGCTTAGCTGCCAATAATTATGGGGAATACCATGAAGACCAATTACGTATAAATATTTTTTGAACGAAAGAAAGAGAGAGAGAGAGTGAGAAAGATAGAGAGCATAGCGTGAGAAAGAAGGAATGGGCATGTGTATACGAATGGGAATGTGTATGAAAGAAGGAGGGAGAGAGAGGAGAGCGAGCGAGAGAGAGAGAGAGCAAGAGAGAGAAAGAAAGCGAGTGGGAGAAAGCGAGCGAGAGAAAGCGATAGAGAGAGAGCGAGCGACAGAGAGAGAGAGAGGGAGAGAGAGAGAGAGCGCGCGCGCGAGAGAGAGAGAGGGGGAGAGAGAGAGAGAGCGCGCGCGCGAGAGAGAGAGAGGG